ATAAGTAGCAAAGACCAGCATCACAGCAATACTTCTGCTTTATTTCCCTTTCTCCATCTGGTGCCTTCTGAACAACTTAGCATGCTTCCGAAATGGGCTCTCCATTGTCTTACGATTCATTAGCATTTAAAACCTCTGGTAGGAATCGCAAACGCAATTCTGCTTCCATTTCGAGTTCAGCACCATCTTCCAAAGGATGAAAATGGAGAGATCTCGGATACGTGACGTTTGTTCAGTGGTGTTGGTGGGGATGATTCATAAGGGAGGTTTTGTGTTCCCGTAGGACTTTTGTCACTTCTTTCAGCTTCCTTTTGGTTCTTCTTCTTTGAGAGATTCCTCACAGAAACCAAAGTGCATATAGTTGCTCACTCACCATGGATTCTGAAAATAAAGATCCGCCCTTCTGCTGTGCTTTCTCATTCCCACCCACCCTCCACAATGAGGAAGCATGTGACATAAACATACAGCGGCTCTATTAGTCATGTTCTCTCTGGCTGTCAAGAAAACGTTCAATCGTAATCTCACTAATAGCTGTTTTTCCTTAAATATTGTAATTTTCTGAGCCCCTAATAAATCATCAATAATTTTGTCCATTTTTCCCCAGTTTGTGTTTATATCTGTAGCTGTTCATAATTGTGGGCTATTATGACAACAGGATTTGTGAACAATTGTGGCACATGAAATCCTAGCTTCCTACCCGAACCAGCTGCCTACACAATGCCAATAGCATCACGTGGGGCTCTTGCAACACGCCTAAATTTTGAAGTTTAATGGTCTGCCTCCAATCGGCTCCAGCAACATTCTTTTAAAAATACATAGCAGTGTGTGTGCTCCCAAATTTGAATATTAGATGAGTAAAAATACAATTAATTTAAGTTCGGAACGGAGATACTATGTGATGTTGGCACAGTGAGTCAACATAAAGGGAAAGAACAGGTGGTAATACACATAATAACACTTTGGGAGATGCCGCTGAAATTCTCTCAATGCCCAAATGTGCATTCGAGGCAGGCATGTTCGCTTTGCTGGCAATTCTTGCAAAGTGGGGGAGAAAAGCTGCCACATAGCAGCAGGGCAGTGGCCCGTCTGCTGCGATACGCTCCCTTTTGTAAGCACAGTGTCTGATTTCATTCATTTGACCCTCTCTCTGCTTGTGCCTGGGATGGGCTTGCATCCACTGGGGCTTACCAAACCATACTTTGTAGCAAACTCTTCAGCCTCCCTATCTTTAGTAGGCAAGATCAGCTTTTACGAGGAGAGGAAAAGCTATGCTGAGCCCCTGTTAAGTCAAAGGAGCATAGAGCCTGGGGACAAGCCATGTGAGTGACCCACACTGCTCCCAGTACCTTGATTTGGTAATGGTGCTCAACTTCTTAAATATCAACTTAAAATTTTTTTTAATGCTTATTTTTGAGAGCAAGAGAGAGAGAGAGAGAGAGAGAGTGAGAGTGAGGGAGAGAGAGAGAGAGAGAGAGAGAGACCAGGGGAGGGGTAGAGAGAGAGGGAGACACAGAATACAAAGCAGGCTCCAGGCTCCGAGCTGTCAGCACAGAGCCTGATGTGGGGATCGAACCCACGAACCGCGAGATCATGACCTGAGCCGAAGTCAGACGCTTTACCGACTGAGCCACCCAGGCACCCCTTAACTTTTTTTTTAATAAGATAAAAAGATGGGTATTTTTAATAAGGTATTTTATTTAATAAGGTATATGCCAACAATCTTGGCATAGCTTTTTAACACCTGGATTCTGATTATGAAATTGCTTTCAAATATCCAATGAGTTATACAGGCCAACTGCTATGTAATTTCAGCCTTTATTTTTTATTTATTTAAAAAAAATTTTTTTAACGTTTACTTATTTTTGAGACAGAGAGAGACAGAGCATGAACAGGGGAGGAGCAGAGAGAAAAGGAGACACAGAATCCGAAACAGGCTCCAGGCTCTGAGCTGTCAGCACAGAGCCCGACGCGGGGCTCGAACTCACGGACCGTGAGATCATGACCTGAGCCGAAGTCGGACGCTTAACCGACCAAGCCACCCAGGCGCCCCCAGCCTTTATTTGTAAAACAAATTCTTCCCCCAAACCCTGAATATTTCTGCTAAGAGAGAACCTAAAGGTGGACTCATTACAAGTCACTTATTACATGGCAAAGAAAACGCAAAAGAGAAAGCGGAAAAAGTATATGTGTCATCACACGTATACAATTATAAATCCTCAAATGTTACATCATAGCTGTGAGTCTATCCACATTAGAAAGGCTCAGCCCCGATTTGAAAGGCAGTATGGGAGAATGGGAGTAATTTTCCTTTTTAACATGACAGTTGAGAATAGAGAAGCTCATATTCTTTGGGCCTGTGAATGCTTTATATGGTCACACAAAAAGAATGTGGAATATTATCTTAATGTTCCCCTCTTGCTATAATAAAAATAAACGGCCTTATTATAATAGAATTAGTGGGAACAACCTGCAGCATTATATTTGCTGCCTTGAGGAACGACCCGATTTTCATCATATGAGCATTATTCTTTTCCACCGGAAACACGGGTATAGGCACTGACTTTTCACGGTGATAATGTGAAGGCCCAATCGTGGGCTAGGGAGGGTCTTTGTACACTTCCCCCTTTGAAACCACTGGTCTTCAAATCACACGAGCTCTTGAGTTCCTTTAGTGAATGTGGGAAACAATTAGGAAAAGGTATCTGGGGTCAGGGAGAGAGATAAGAGGAGTCAGACGGGTGATGCACAGATGTTTCGTGGAGTAAAACTGTGGGCAAAGCCGAAGCTAGAGAAGCACATACGTGCCTTGGAACAACACCCCGGCGCCCCCCCCACCCACCCACCAGCTGAGTCTTGGGTAGAGGGAGGGCTGGGTCTTCAGGACGGAATCACGTGTGTCCTCTGATGAATGAGACTTCCTGCAATCACTTTCTGAATGTCTCCTCTGGGAAATTTCATCTCACCAAGCAAAAGAGTTTATAGTATTGGAGCCTGGTACCTAGCTAAGAATACACACAGGGGTGATTAGAGTGGAGACAGGGGTACATCCCGTTGTGTGGCATCAGAGATGGTGCTGGGAGGCATTATGGTTACAAAATCCAGGCAGGAATGGGGTTGGGATTCCTGGTCTCATGTGCACTTAGTTCCTCGTTCAGCAACGCTCTACTGAGTGGAAGAATGAAGTCACTGCAGAATCCCACCAGTGAATGTCCAACATCAGCTGGGAACCATACCTCAGCTTTGGGAGGGTGGGAGCGAATTTATCTGTGATAGGCTAGAAATCAGCTCTAAAACCCCCAAACAACTGTATTAGGGGTTCAGCAGAATCACAGAATACATCGACCACCCTCTTAATAGTGAGATGGATGTTTTAAATGAGTGCACAATGTTCCAGTGGGGTGTTTTCTGTCCTGGAAGATGAGTCTTGCAAGATGGTGGCCCACACTGTAGGCCTGTGCCTTCCTGTGAAGTCACCTCTGGGCTGGCAATCTTGGAAAGGACATAAGAAAATATATGGATATTTCAGACTATAAAAGGTAGCTTTGACTGACAGAAAAGAAGGCTTCGGGAGAACTGGGAGGAAGGGCAGGTTCTATGCTCCTTAGCAACTGGTCTACCATCACCACCATAACTGACTGCAGAGAATGATAAGTTCTAGTCACAGTAACTATATGCACCAGCCAAGTAATCTTAGATGAACCATTCAGCGGAACGAGGGACTCTGTTTTGTTCTCTGCCAGACCTCCGGTGTCCAGAACAGTGCCTCAGGGCACATAGTAAATGCTCAGCGAACACTTGTTAAATGAATACATGAATGAATTTAACTATCTGGCTCTATTTCATGATCTACAAAATTGAGATAAAAGTGTCTATGAGCACTCAGCAGAACCAATGAGACAAATCATGTGAAAGTTTTCTGAGAAGAGTAAGAAACTATATACATTTAGATGTTGATCCATACTCACAAGACACAGTTGCTTCTAGATGTATATAGCTTTGAGACTTTCTGTTGCTTACCCACTTCCCTGGACCTGATGAGGAAAGGTGAAGGTCTCTACCAAGAGTCAAATGTGAGATTAATACACCATTATTAGCACCTTTCCGTATTCTGCAACAGCTGAAGGTGCATCCATGTAATTGTTTCAATGACTGTAATTTAATGATAATGCTTGTCTATTTTTTTTTCTTTTTGACAATGAAATTCGAGATGGTGACCATGGCAATCTACTCCATGGTTTAGAAATATGGGATCAGTATTGCTTCTTCGTTGAGGTGGGCTACATCTGCGTACTGAGCTCTTAGCTCTCTGTGATTCCCATCATCCTTAAGACCTTCTGGGCTACTTATGCTGTGGCTGAGATGCTCCACATGGCCCTCCCTAAGCATGGTCCTCACATCGTGGCAATCCACACCAGAAGAATATAACCAGGCATCTGGTCCCATTTAACACAGCCTAAAAATACGAGTATACGTGGGATTGAATAACAGGCTCTGGTGGTCTTTAGGGAATGGCTAAGGTTCGTTTGGCAAAGAGCAAAGAGGGTTTTGATGACCAAAGGGTACATAATAAGTGCTCGAGAGAGGTGTATACAGTTTTCAAAATATTTTCAGTATTTTTTTTTTTTTTTTTTTTTTTTTTTTTTTTTTAGTCTTTATGATCACATTGGCAACGTTAAGGAATGATGTAATCCTGGCTGGGACATGTAAAAGTCCTTCCAATAGTAACTACAGTATATAAACTTCGAAACAAAGGAAACTAACGTGCTATTTACAAAAGAGTAGTAAAGGAGTATAAACTTATGTGAAAGTCTCTTGAAGTCCGGTTCGGACAGGGCACATTCTCAGCCTTAATTCTGGTATCGGAAAACTTCACCCACAGTCCTCTGAAGCTGTTTTTTTTTTTTTTTTTTTTTTTTTTTTTTTTTTTTTTTTTTTTTAGAGTGCATACTCTTTCTTAAACCACGTTGATTCCCACCAGCCCACTTTGCATTCTTTCTTACCTGTTTTTGCTCTTCTCCTAAACCATCCCACATTGAAGCCACAATTTTAGAGACTTCACCAAAGGTAGCATTTGGATTTTGGCCCTTGATGGCAGCCTGAGTATCACGAAAGAACAATGCATACGCAGACACAGGCTTCTGAGGCTCATTGGGGTCCTTCTTCTTCTTCTTTTTTGGGGTTTTTGGCTTTTTCCCCATGTCAGACGCAGGTCGCTTCTCTCCACCATTGATCTGAAATAAAAAATCAAATCAGAATTACGGAGGAACTAAGACTATTTGGCAACATATCATATTGATCTCCTTGGTGGCTTACACGGATATACTCGTCACGCAAACACAGACATTCCTCAGGGGCACCTGGGTTTGTCGCTGTTGTTGTTTTTTGGATAAAACTACCTTCATATTTCCTGCAGTTGCCATATTTATCCTTCTTTCAGCCTAATTTACATACCTTTCAAATAGCATTATTGATTCTTTTTCTACTATTGTTATACCATTAAATATCCCTTACCCGTCAACTTCTCATTTTTCCCATTCAGGAAGCTGAATGAGAAGCAGCATTGTAACTGTGACGGCAGTGGATTCCTCTTGTAGTGACCCTATTGTATGATCCATCTAACTTGTGTTCTTTGGGGCAGTTTAGCCTTTTTTTCCTAATTATGATTTTAAAACCATGGTGGGTGACGTGTCCAATAATAAAGTTGAAGGACGTTTGATGTTGCACTTAGGTCTATAGAAGGCTAGCAATGCTCATGGTTTAGAGACTGGCATCATCTAGACAGATAAGTGCTGTCCAGTGGAACTTTCTGTAATAAGGATAAAGTTCTATAGTCTGCATTATGCGAAAGGGTAGCCACTTGCCATATGTAACTAATGAGCACTTGAAGTGTGGCTGGAATAAATAAGGAGCAAAATTTAAAGTTTTATTTCATTTTGAATGCTTGAAACTTAAATAGTTACATGTGGACATTGGCTATCATATTGGACAGTGCATCTCTGGAGACCTTCTAGATTCCAGATCTTTCTAGAACAGCTCTACACTCAGTTTAAAAATTGGTTCTATTGTCTTCCTTGTCCTCCAGTATGGATATTTGGGTGATTTCAATTGTTATTCTGATGCAGGTGGGAAAAGACATCCTGAATGGTTTTAAGGTATCTGCATTTGAATATTATCTTTGACATTAGCTAATTATATGTGGTGTGACTTCACCTCTATAGAATGGGAGATTGTGGCTAAGATTTCTCTCTGGCCCTAAAATTCTACGAATCTCCACAAATATCAAATAGTGCTGCCTCCGTTGGGATCCTCTGCTCAGGTGCCCCCCCCCCAACATAAAGGCACATGTGCGCTCTCTCCGGATAATGCTGCCATCATCACATTGAGGTACGCTGCACCTTCCCCTTCTGCTGTTGTTGCTTCTTTCCTCTCTGCAAACATATGTACAAGCAATACGTATCTTATCCAGACAAATTGCTAGGCAGGGGAGTTCGTGTAAAATGACTGCCAGCAGTGGAGAGCAAGCGTGATGCCCAGTGGATATGACACCAGAGGATCTAGACTTATTCCCTCCTTTGCTATTTTTGCCTGTGTAATCTTGAGCAAATTATATATTTCTCTGGGCCTCCATTTTCTCTACTGCAAACCAGCTGCGGTGCCATTTTGTGGTTACTGAGATGGTATATATTTATATTTGCTTAAAACTTTTAAGATGTTAATTATGGCAGGCACTTAAAAAAATTCACTGAATGAATGGAAAGAAATTTGTGATGCCACACTGTCATCGTTTAAAAGATCTGCTCCGAGAACTAGAGGGAGACAGGAAAAAAAGCTACATGAATTCTTTGCCTTGTTTTTAGTGAGAAAGATAACTAAAAGCTTGTCATTTTGAAATTGCCTACTGAAGGAGATCAAACACCCCTGCGGGGACAGGATGCTTTGAACCCGGCGAACGAAGGTAGATTAACGCTAGAAGATATCTTCCCCAGGATGGATCTGAGAGGTGATCGTGTGAAATTGTTGGTCCCCACGTAAATCTGCGAGAGGTCTAGCATGTTAAGGCTGAGTTGATCCTGGGCAAACTGGTGTTAGTTATAGACTAAAAAGGTGGGCAAACATGACCTAGAACAGTGGCTCTCCAATACGGCTGTCCATTAGAATTGTCCAGAAACTTCTAAATAATATTCGATGCCCACGCTTTACTCTACACTAAGGAAGCAGAATGCTTATGAGTAGGAGACACTGGCCTCAGACACACCCTCAACTGTAGCGTTCTCACTGGTATTTAATTGCTTGAGAGACAAAGCAAACAAAAAGTCACCTTTCTCTTTGCTCCTATGGGATACACACGGCCGTATCTTTCTTTCCTCTCTTCACAACTAAACTCCTCCATGTGGTTGTCCGGGCTGGGTATACACAGCCTCTGCAACTCATTTCAGTGTGCCTTCCCCATCACTTTGCTCTCAGTTCAGGCCACCGAGGGCCACTATGCCTTCCTGATGTCTTTTAGGCACATTAGGATGTAAACTGTCTTCTCTCATGAGTTTGTACTTAGGTAATCTCCTAAGCACACAGTTTCCATTACCTTTTGTTGGTGGACAACTGTCAAACTCATGTTTCCCCTGAATTTTGAACACACTGACATGACTGCTAGTTGACATTTCTATTTGCAAGCCTTTTTTATGTATTTTTATTTTTTAATTCTATTTTTGTTATTTTAGTGTTTATATTTATTTTTGAGGAGAAAGACAGCATGAATGGGGGAGGGGCAGAGAGAGACAGAGACACAGAATCTGAAGCAGGCTCCAGGCTCCGAGCTGTCAGCACAGAGCCCGACGCGGGGCTCGAACCCACAAACCGTGAAATCGTGACCTGAGCTGAAGTCGGGCGCTCAACTGACTGAGCCACCCAGGAGCTTCTCTGCGTGCAAGTCTTAAAGTATCTCAAACTCAGTCAAGTTCGTGTTATTCACTTGTATAGTTCCGTGCATTTCCTTGAGAATACACATCATACGAAATTATATAATAATTTAAATGTTAGATCTTCTCCCGCCCCAGACTGTAAGCACCATTAGGGCAGGTCCACATGTGATTTTGTTCACTAGCACTTATCATGGTTCCTAACACATAGTAAGTGCTTAACATTTGTTAGAATAGTAATAAAAATTATAACATAAAATAATAACATAACTTAGAGGAGGAATAAATCAAAGCAGAAGTGGTTTCTGTTATAGGAAATTAAACCATGCTAATTTACTTGGGAGCTTTAGGACATTAAGCACATATGTAGTAAGACAGAAAACAAATAGACTTTTAGAAAATATTTGATACATTAATAGTCACTCCTCTGGGTTATAGACTGAATCTTCATGATTTTCTTCTTTGTATTTTTCATAATATTTTATAAACATGACGATTCTTATATTTGTAATTATAAAATATTTATTAAAAAGAAAAATAGAAAGGAGTTAACCAAAGTCCACAATGAAGAATATTAAAAAAATGGAGGGATCATGATATTGGAGGTCATGTTGCTTCAAGGATTGAAAATATTTAGAAACAGGGAACAAAGTGTAGGAAAATAAATGCTTATCCATATGGAATATCACCTGGGCTCATTTGAAATTTCAGTTAAAAAATTAGTGACGTATTAAAATTTCTATGATTGCAGAGGTTATCAATCTTTTTGGAAAATACTCAAATGTCAATCACAGAAGTCAATATCCTATGACACAATGTAAATATACTTATTAAAAGATTTTCCCAAATTATTTAAATAATTTCCCTCCTCCACTGTTCAAAATTGTCTTCGAACCGCTGAACTTTATGCAACCTTTCCTTTTTAAATTGTTATTTGGACAGTCGGGTGCAAGCCTGATTGACTGACTGATTACCGATTGATATTTATTTAAGTTTATTTATTTATTTTGAGAGAGACACAGAGAGTAGCGGGGAAGGGGCCAAGAGAGAGGGAGAGAGAGAATCCCGTGCTGACAGGATGGAGGCTGATGCGGGGCTCGATCTCACAAACTGCGAGATCATGACCTGAGCTAGAATTAAGAGTTGGCTGCTTAACCAACTGAGCCACCTAGGCCAGCCACCTCTGCCATTAAGGAAAGCTGGCACCCGAGACGGCCAAGCTAAAGGCTACACACTAAATATTTACGTCTCAGGATTCACTTGTCTTTCCCTCAGTAATTACAGTAGATCACTAAAACTATATTCTTGGATCATAATATTCTGACCACTTACAGAATCGCCAGTATGGAACTGAACTGGGATTTCAGCTATGCCCTGACTTCCATCGCAGGCTGATAGAAGAGGAAAAAGCAAAAACAAACACTATTTATGAAAGGTCTCTATTTTTTTTTAATTTTTTAAAATATTTATTTTTGAGAGAGAGAGAGAGAGAGAGAGGAACAGAGTACAAGGCAGTGAGGGGCAGAGAGAGAGGGAGACACAGAATCTGAAGCAGGCTCCAGGCTCTGGGCTGTGAGCACAGAGCCCAATGCGGGGCTCGAACTCACGAACCATGAGATTGTGACCTGAGCTGAAGTCGAACACCTAACGGACTGAGCCACCCAGGCTCCCCAAAAGCTCTCTATTTTTAAAAAATAAAATGTGCTTTGAAGGGAATCAGTGTTCCTTGTATAAAGACTTATTGGGTAAGCACAACATCTTTGTTTTTAGGGTGCAGCATAATGGAATGAAAAGTCCTCATTGTGGTTTGATATCTAATGCATCCAACTACTTGGGCAGTGCTATGTGAGTTTAAGGGTGTCTGCCACATGAACCTCCTGATTATTTATTTTTCGTTTTTCTTGTGTTCCTGAGGATACAGAAATGAGCTATTGTTTTAGATTCTGTGTAAGGAACCAGGGATTTGTAAGGCCTACTTTCTGGAGGTAGCTTCATCATGTATTTGAAAAGCACATGATCATTGCTCATATGCAAAGCCTCCTTGAGGAAAAAATCGTTGTTATAATTTGGATCCACTTACGTGCCAGTAACAGATTGCATTTTGAAAGACACCTGGCTTTTTTGACCACCAACTACTTGGGATGAACACGATGATGAATATCATTACGGTGGAAAAATCAGCTAAATGGATTTGTAATAGGTCCCTGAACCTTAATTTTGAGTATTGTCTAGATCCTGAATTCCTACTTAGATGGATGAAAGCTTATAATTTTACATCCTAATTTTCTAAGAGACCCTGACTTCTAAAGTCGAGA